CCTATAAACCCTAAACCCTAAAAGCTGCGAGTCTCAGGCGCAGCGAGGCTCGAAGGTCGCGATAAGCACCGCCGCTCTGTGATGCAGCCCTCAACCCTACTACCCTCAGCCGAATGTAGGATTTCGCTAGGTAGGCCCTTGGGGCATTTTATATTTTCCCTTATTGGGCCTAAGAGGATCTTATTTACGATTTTTTTCAAAGGCTTTTAAGGGCCAACCTAGTTCGGTGGAATCCCTAATTTGCTTTGAACCCTAAACTCTGAATCGGTCTGTAACCACCAAAGCCCCTAAAACCCTAAACCCACCCAAGCCTAGACCGCATGCTCAATCTCCAAACTGATAGGTCATAGCATATCCTTTGGTCTTATCTCAATATCATACTCACACATCACATTTTCTTCATTAGATAGAATAGATAGATAGATAGATAGATAGATAGATAGATATATATATATATATATATATGTAGCATAAGGACATAAGGACAAGGGCCGGGAATGCAGAACAGCCGAAGGAGCTTTGCAGCCTTGGTCTGGATCTTGCCTCGGAGCCACCTGCGCCGAGCGATTCTGCGGAGGAGCAGGCGACCAAGTAGGGTTTTGGAGGGTTTGGGTTTTCCAAGCCCTACTTTAATCTAGGGCCCTAAACCCTAAACCCTAAACCCCTAAACCTAGGGTTTTGGAGGGTTTGGGTTTTCGAAGCCCTACTTTAATCTAGGGTTTTGGAGGGTTTCGGTTTTCGAAGTCCGACCTTTTAGGGCTCCTTGCTATATGACTTCCCTATATTACAAGTCCTTAACAGGTAGGTAGGTTACTTGGGGTTAAGGTAGAACCCCAAAGCCTTTATGAATCCCCGAGTTGGGTCTTCGGGATCTCCGATCTTTTAGTTCTGGATGTGGCGGATTTTAGATTTCCGGGTTTGGGTTTTGGAGCAGCAGGCGGTTTGGGGGGGGGTAGGGTGTACACGCGGATCCTGCTTTTCTGTAGGGTTTGGGAAAACAGGTAGGCTCAGGATACGGGGCTTTAGGTTTCTGGGTTTAGGCTTCCAATTTTCGGGTCTGGAGGCGTTTTTTCACGCAAAGCGCACGTGCTTGATCTCCAACAGTCGTAAAAAAAACACAAGCCTGAAAAACCACAGCTACGATTCCTCAGCAATCCCAAGAACGACTGATGCAAAGAGGCGGGTGATGCCAGCTCCTGCCGCGGCCCCATATTCGACAGCTCTATTGGGTGCAGGAATTAGGCAGGTTGGGGTTGAGGGACTCAGGGTTTCAAGGCTTCAGAGTTTATGGTTTAGGGTTTGGGGTTCAGGGTTTTTGGGGTTTAGGGTTCAGGGTTTTGGGGTTTAGGGTTCAGGGTTTTGGGGTTTAGAGTTTAGGGTTCAGGGTTTTAGGGTTTAGGGTTTAGGGTTCCCCAAGATACCAGGCAACCTAACTCCCCAAAATTTCCCGAAACTCGACTCAACATAGGGGCCTTACTAATTAGAATCGGGCTTTGGGTATATTATACTATAACTGGAATAAGGAACCCCCAAAAAAGTATAGGTAATTATTTAGGCGCCTATAACCCTAAACCCCCTAACCTGAAAGCCGAAGCCCTGACCTGAACCCAAACTAACTGACCATAAACTCTGAAGCTTGGGTACTGCCCCCATACAGTAACAGTCTATAATAGGGCTACTATGAAGGGCCTGATATATCCATAATATAAATCGAGATCGAATCTTCCGGGTCTAGTATGGGGGCCTTAGTAGTTATACTGGGGATTTGGGGTTCTCGGGGTTATTTTTTAGTAGATCTACAAAATAGCAAGGAACTCTGAAGAATCACCATCAGTGTTTTGTCAGAGTTCTACACTATAGACTGAGGATCCTGCTAGATTGCGATTCTGATACTCTGAAACAGTTAAACATCTATGGGTCAGTGTCGATTAGACCCACGCCAAGCAGTCGAAAGAGCTCCAATGTCCGTTATAGGGTCTAGAGTAACCTATGAACCCTATGCGAGCCTTATGATGATCTCCTGAGGTGACCCATCGCCGGCAGAGGTGCGGCTTTCCGGCGTGTTCGCCATACTGGCCCATTCAACCCTAAACCCTAAACCCTAAACCCTGAACCCTAAACCCTAAACCCTAAACCCTAAACCCTGAACCCTAAACCCTAAACCCTAAACCCTAAACCCTTTGCTTTGCATTGCACGACAGGGCTACAGGGACATGGACTCCCCGGAGCAGCTCGCGCAACGCAGACCGCCCACAATTCAGCAAATCCCTGTACCTATAGTCTCCATTGTAGTTCTTTTTGTTGGTTTAACCAAATATAGTAAGGATTTTATAAGGTATCCCCAAAAAGGAACTACAATGGAGACTACAGGTAGGCTACGTATGGCATCTTGTAAGAGGGTTTTGCGGCCAAGCGTCTTATATTGAGATGTTCTTCATCACCTTAAGGCTCGTCATGTTCTTGCCCGGGTGTTCTGCGAAAGGTATTTCGAGCCTTCCCTCCAACTGGTGTGGAGCCGAGATTGTGACTATGCATCAGCTCGAGAAGCTCCTTCTTAGCGAAAAGGCAATTGCCGGATGCTTAATATCATTCATGTTCAAGCGTTCATTGTCATGGCTTATTGTTCATGGATATATAGTCATATAGTTTTAGTTAGGTAGCAGTATCTATGGTGTGTTTATTGATGTCGTTTAGTTCGTTAGTGTTCCTCTTCCTATCATGCAACAAGGTAGTTGTTTGTGTTTGCTACTATCGCTATTGCTACTTGTTGTTGAATCCGCTCCTGCGAGTTCTGTAGCGGCATGCGGAGGCAGCGAGCTTTGATGGATTTACTGGAGAAGGCGGAATCGGAGGTCCAGGCAGCTTTGGAGCCCATCGGCCTCGAAACTGGGCTCTTGTTAAGGAAGTCAGTTTCAAGTCGCCGCAAATTAAGGAAACCATATGAGTCACCATAGGTTGCTACTATAGTTACCATTTTAGGTCAGGAAACTGTGTTGTTTATTGACTTAACTTAAGTGACCATGAGTTACCATGAATAAGGGTTTGGGCTTTAGGGTTAAGTTACCATAATACGAGGAAGCCATGTGTTTATTTGCTATCGATCCCAATTTTATGCTGTGATATACTCCAGCTCCTTCTATGGATGCCTATTTTGGTAACTTCCAGAATCTATAGATCGCTATTATGGTTACCATTATAAGGAAATCTTGTCATCTCCTACAGATCAGGAAGAGTAGCCCTAAACCCTGAGCCCTTTAAGCCCTAAAGCCTAAACTCCCTAGACCCTAAACCCTAAACGGCCCTAAACCCTAAATCCCCCAAAAAACAAACCTACACTTCCCTCAACCCTATCCGTGGTTCCCTTCTAGGGTACTAGAGCCCCTAGGGCCCTATATAGTAGGTTCCTGGGGGGNNGGGGGGGGGGGGGGGGTTTAGTGTATGAAAACCTCAAGAGCCCAGGAAAGCGCCGAGCAGGGAGGCGGTTCCACGAGCTTCGCGCCAGAGCCGGCCGTCAGCTCCAGGAATCCGACAGCAGAGGACATCTTGGGAGTTCGGGGTTTAGGGTTTAG